GCTTAAGCTATTAATTCTCCTCCCTTCATTGAATCCTTGCAGTACCATAGCCTACAGCTATAAGATTCTTTGTTTGTGAACTAAAATCAAAAAAATAAGAGCCCTTAATTATCAGTTCGACATTTTAAACTTTATAACCTATAGAGGACCAAAAGTTTCTTCCACTACTTTTTCAGCAAATCTCAATTAGACCCCACTTTACTGGGACAAGTTTTAAAAAAAAAATTATTTAGAATATATGCTTTCTACAAAGTGATATAAGCCCAAAGCATCCCATTATCTGTCTTAAGACATGTTAGCAAAGAAAGGTAAAACATAGGGTTAAATACCGAAATGGTCCCCGAAGAATGCATTCAGTCTCATTTTGGCCCTTTTACTTTTTAATTGTCGCAGTTTTGTCTTTAAAATTATACTTTATTTTCAAATTGCTATTAAAGAAGGAAAACATGCTACACAATTCAAATACAACCCAAAAAATTATAACTCAAATACATATTATTCCTTGAATAAGTGGGTCTCATCAACTTTTTTTAGTGTGACTCATTCATCCAAAGGATGATATGCATTTGAGTTACAGTTTTTGGGTTTCATTTGAATTGTGTAACATGTTTTCCTCCTTTAGTAGCTTGATGTCAATAACTCCCATGACCTTGGATTGTGCAGCTTGATGCTACACAATCCAAATGCAACCCAAAAAATTATAACTTAAATTCATATCATCCCTTGGATAAGTGGGTTTCATCAATTTTTTTAGTGTGACCCACTCATCCAAAGAATGATATGCATTTGAGTTACAGTTTTTGGGTTTCATTTGAATTGTGTAGCATGTTTTCCTCATTTAGTAGCTTGATGTCAATAACTCCCATGACCTTGGAAAAAAGATATTCAATCCTAATTAGATCCTCATTGTTCATTAATTATAGGTTTACTTNTTTAGTAGCTTGATGTCAATAACTCCCATGACCTTGGAAAAAAGATATTCAATCCTAATTAGATCCTCATTGTTCATTAATTATAGGTTTACTTAAACCAATTAGTCTTTCTGTATTGTGTTTTGCCTTAAATAATAGGATAATTGTCTAGCAGGCACAATCAATGAAAGGCAATTGAACTCAGTAATTGCAAGCAAATCTTTCAATGGTCCCATGGTGACATAGAAGATAAGGTAGAAAAATGATTTGACATTTGGATTCTACGTTATCGGTCTTTGTTTTATGTGGGTAGATGTAAAATATCATGAACCAACCTAAAATCCTGTCACAAGCCCATGTGCTAATATGCTGGTGACATTTGCTGAGATTTTCTTTGAACAAAAACTTGCAAGAGAGGCCCCTTCATCATCATCTTAGAGACCCATCTCATATGAGACTCACTCACAATTTTGAGTGCTTTTCAAAGGGGTCTTTTGTCAACTCTTATTATTGTGTTGTTTGCGAGGATTAGATAAGTGCGGTCTTAGTATTTCTATTTGTGAAAAGACTCTCTTTTCATGACTTGAATTAGTAAACTTACCATTACGCCAAGATGCATCCTCACTTTGATCACGTATGTATAGTTGAAGTTTGGGGATAGGACTCTAATGGTAGGGTAAGAATTTGGTCCCAAAAATTACTTTTAGTGAATATACAACTTTTTGAGCTTAAGCTCCAAAAAAAAAAAAAAAATATACATTCGATTTTCAATGTTAGAATCGATCCCAAAAACCCATTTATGTTGTTATTTGACCCAAAACAATTGTAATTTAACCAAAAAGAATTCTAAATTAGGGTACTGTTTCGGAACAGTAGTCTTGACCCTAATGGTATGTAAGCAGAATGAAATCCGATAGAAGCAAGGAGTCTACCTCCACCCAACTGCGGGATATCCAGGTTTAATCCCAATCCCTTCGCAAAAGATAAATAGCCCCAATGACCCATCATTGCTTATAAGAAGGGAGGAAAAAAGATTAATGAGATAAGCAATTCTAACCAATTTGAGATTCAATTTTCTCGCTCTTTTTTCCGACTTAAGTATTAGAGGATCAACCTTTTGAAACCTCTTCGGTCTTCAACTTATTGCAAGTGCACTCTTGGTCGGTCAACATGTAAACTCCAGTCAACAGATCTCTTAGAGCTCGGTGGTTAGTTTCTGACATCATCAAAGAGTAATACTATATAAATCTAATTTATTTACTTAATTTGTTGGCTGAATCATTTACAACCATTAAATTGTAAGCAGATCATGATATTAGTTGAGACCCACTTTCAATCTAAGGGTAANTGTTGGCTGAATCATTTACAACCATTAAATTGTAAGCAGATCATGATATTAGTTGAGACCCACTTTCAATCTAAGGGTAATGATGGATTAACCTAACAAATTAGGTCTAAATATTAAAGAATAATTAGCTGCATTATTTGCGTAAGCCTTATTGAGAAACTATACTGATGGAGCAGTTGAAAACTAAAGATAATATGAGTAAACATTTTAACAGGCTCTGGCTGCTTCTTCACCAAATCACCGTAAATGATGATATGCTGTCTGCTGGCATATTAATCGNAATGATGGATTAACCTAACAAATTAGGTCTAAATATTAAAGAATAATTAGCTGCATAATTTGCGTAAGCTTTATTGAGAAACTATACTGATGGAGCAGTTGAAAACTAAAGATAATATGAGTAAACATTTTAACCGGCTCTGGCTGCTTCTTCACCGAATCACCGTAAATGATGATATGCTGTCTGCTGGCATATTAATCGGTCTTTTTATTGTTATCATTATTATTATTACTATAACTATTAGATATTAGATTTGAACCGATAACTTCTACTCCCGCAAAGTGAGATTAATCATTACTGGATGGCTATACAAATTTTGCTAAATTTCCGTCCCTTATAAACTCTCGTTGTAAATTCAAGTGAATCACATGATATTTAAGTGTTANTATTAGATATTAGATTTGAACCGATAACTTCTACTCCCGCAAAGTGAGATTAATCATTACTGGATGGCTATACAAATTTTGCTAAATTTCCGTCCCTTATAAACTCTCGTCGTAAATTCAAGTGAATCACATGATATTTAAGTGTTACCTACTAATGCACGGCTAGTGATGTAGAGGGTATTTGGATTTTTTTTTTTTTTTTGGTACTCTTGATTTTGTAGAAGTAGCTAGGGAAGTCCCTTTACATTTTCCAAACATTGGAGGAAACAACTGATAAAAAAATATGGGTTGTGTTACATAACTGGTCAAATGTAATGAATATTAATGAAACTCATGGTTGCATTACATATTTACATATTCTTTTTTTTTGTTTTTAGTTTAACTGTCAAGTGCGTCCAGACTAATTTGTGTGTATTTGGATTAATTCTCTCTCAGTTCTGGTTAAAGATAGACTATTCACAATCGACAAGGTATTAATGAGGAATAAATCTCTCATGANAGTTTAACTGTCAAGTGCGTCCAGACTAATTTGTGTGTATTTGGATTAATTCTCTCGCAGGTCTGGTTAAAGATAGACTATTCACAATGGACAAGGTATTATTGAGGAATAAATCTCTCATAACCTAACTCAAAATAGTTGTCAAGGTTCGAACTCATCACGTCTAAGTTTACAGCTCGTCCTATTATCACTTGAACTATTCACTGAGATTGTTGGATTACATGTTTATACCAATCCATCTACTGCCATTTTAGTGTCTCTATATCAAATCCCTCTTCGTAATGCTGCATAACAATGGACTCTTCCTAGACATTGTAATCACGAGATGCTTGTGTATTAGGTCACTTTTTTTTTTTTTTTATAACAATATCAAATGGGTACAAATTATTCTGTGTGTGTGAGAGATCGAGATCGAGATCGAGATCAAATTCCAAAACTTAGTTCAAACTTGATGTACTTATAAATCCAAAAGAGCACCAAATCTATTAAAAAGAGGTGAGGTGACCAAGTCCACACTAGTCCAACTTAAATATCCGGATGGACAAAAAATGAGTACCAAAATCACTACAACAATGTTGGTTTATGAAATTGACTGTGCATTGCAGTGTCTGCACACAAAAAAAATAAGTCATAAGCCAGATAGTACGGTTGGCCCTATTGTCTGCTTTTCCCCTAACCGTTTTTCTTTTCTTTTCTTTTCTTTTCCTCTTTATATTTGAATTATTGCAAAGAAAAAATATACCCTGGCCTTAGTTGCACAAGATGTTCATGCACTCATCTGAGAATTAGAGAAAATCTAGAAATGGAACTCCCAAAAAGAGTATAAAACTGTCCATCATTTACATGCAAGCTTTGGAATTTGTTCTCTCTCTCGCACAATCAGAAAAGACTTATGTACTGAATACGACGCATGAATTATGTACCGAGTAAGAGAGAGAGAGAACAAATTCCAAAACTTAGTTCAATAAAATCCTGAGTATGACTTAGTTCCAAAACTTAGTTCTACAATAGGAGGAGACCTTATGTACTGAATATGACTTGGTGATCCACCTGTAAAGCCAGTGGANGTACCGAGTAAGAGAGAGAGAGAACAAATTCCAAAACTTAGTTCAATAAAATCCTGAGTATGACTTAGTTCCAAAACTAGTTCTACAATAGGAGGAGACCTTATGTACTGAATATGACTTGGTGATCCACCTGTAAAGCCAGTGGAAGATGCATAAACTTCTAAGTGATATCATGGATTTGGCACGCACTTATAAATTATATGGAAAATGTTATCTAATCCTAAAGTAAACTGTCCATATTTAAATTCAGCTCAAGGATTTTAAATTAAGTCTATCGATTCCACCAATAAAACCCTGCAAAGCTGCAGCTATCAACATGCCAAAAGAGAAGAATTGCACAAATCCCAACAACCCCATCATGTACAATTCTCCAAACCCCATCAATGACCAAGCAAGGCAAAACACAAAAGAAAGGCTGAAACAAAACCTTAACCCATGCACTCAATGTTATCCCACCCCCACCAAAGTACCATCAAAAGTAGAGAGAAAGATATAGGGTTGAAAGACCCTCACACACTTCTAGCCATCATTTCTTGGAATCTCCTATAGGACTCTTGTTTCTCTAACCTGAACTTTTCATGGCAGTTTGCAATAAACATATCAGCAAGTTGATCGATCTCATTACTACGATCAGTAGTAGACTTTTCTTCAAGCCAACGGAGATATCCCGAAAGCTGTGACTCTCCTACATCATCACATTCCGTTGATATGATTGAGTTCCACGTTGAATCGTAGTACACATGGCTAGTGGAGTACCCCTCGAGCACAGGTGAAGGGACCGGCAACACATGAGAAGAGCACCAATTGTAGTGTAGTCTAAATGAACCAAAAAAGAGCTTATTCTTGTTCTTATTCTTCTTTATGGGTAATTCTATGAGGTGGAGGAGTCGGATTTCTTTGAGAATCTCCATGAGAATGGACTTTGCTTTGGTGAGAGCTCGGGCAAGACGACACAGATGAGAGAAAATGAAGGTGTGAACTAGGGTTTTGAGCTTCATGGAGGTTAAGGAGGAAGAAGATAACTTCATGGAGAAAACATGAAGAGAGTGGGAGATTTTTGGATGAGATGGGCCAGCCATTTTTTTTGGGTTGGGAGGGTTAATGTGTCTTGTTCAAATGGATTTATAAAGGATGGTGATTACCAAATTGCCACTACATAGTAGGTAATTTAAATAAAGTGGCAACTGCTTTGCAGATTTTGAAGTGGGACTTTTTTCCATATGTTCTTCTTGGGTTTAAACTAGACAATGACTTGTACATGAATGCTGTGACTTGTTTACTTGTTTGTTTGCAGAAGCACCTCAAATAGAACAAAACATGGACAAGCCAAGTGCACGACACTCGCGCTGTTGTGCGATCTAAGAGGTACAGATACGTTGAAAGTGTTCTCCTGCGTATAAAGAGGATGTTTCCATGATTAAAACTATNGACACTCGCGCTGTTGTGCGATCTAAGAGGTACAGATACGTTGAAAGTGTTCTCCTGCGTATAAAGAGGATGTTTCCATGATTAAAACTATAACCATTCCTAAACTCACATCATCGACATGTTAATTGTGTGAGTGAAGTAGATTCGTATCAAATTTTAGGATATATCTGTTAAAAAGATACTCACTCATATCCGATTAGTTTATTAATACGTGTCTAATACATGGTCTCATATCGGGTTCTTGGTAGATATAAACCGTGTATAACTGATATATATATATNGTTAAAAAGATACTCACTCATATCCAATTAGTTTATTAATACGTGTCTAATACATGGTCTCATATCGGGTTCTTGGTAGATATAAACCGTGTATAACTGATATATATATATATATATATATATATATATATATAATAAAGTAGTTTACAATTCAAATTTCAAAAATAAACAAAATGACTTTTGTTATTCGCGGTTGAGATTGTTTTAAATTTTACTTTAAAATTTAATCTAACAGCTAATATTAACCCTCTAAATTTAATAGGAAAAATAGATCCCTGAGGGTGTGTTTGGAGTGACTTTTTAAAAGTACTTTTAAAAATTATTTTTTATAAATACTTAAAAAAAATAATATTTGAAACCGCCAAACCACTACTTCTACCACCACCTCCGCCATCACCACCACCATTGCCGCCGCTGTCACCACCACCTCCATGCCCACCACCACCACAACCCCCGCCAGTGCCATCACTACCGCTTCCATCACCATCGTTGCTGCCACTACCACAACCCCTATCATTGCCACCCCCCACCACCACCGTCGTCGTCACCGCCACCACCATCGTCGTCGTTGCCGGCATTACCGCCATCACGGTCATTGCCACCCACCACAACCATCACCATTTTCTACCACTACCACTGCCACTCACTACCTCTCATCCCCACTACAAACCGATACTTAAATTTTTTTATTTTTTTCTTATGTTTGTAATTTGATTTTAGATATGAATATAAATATATTTATTATTTATTATTACTATGTGCTTTCAGGAACAAACAATAACTAATATATATATATATATAGTGGAATTGGTGTCAAAACTTCAGTAGCCAAACAAGTCCCAAGGTTTTTCATTTTCACGCGCTAAAATTTTTCGAAACCGTGGGAGGGTCTGTGTGATTCAAAAGAAAGATTGGGTCAACTGGACAATGTGGTCCATGGAAGGATTTGGAAAATGAGAGACTCTAAGGGTAAAAAGGTAAAAGTGTAAGTGAAATCTGTAGCTGGTGGCCCACACCCAAGTCTCGCGGGCTTTTGGAATCCAGTTCTGAGCAGCTCGAAGAGGTAAATAAGGCTGATTCTTCGCCGAAATTACAAGCCCAATGACTTTATTTAATATATTTCCCAGCTTAGAAAAATACCATATTTAATATATTATTATTATTATTATATTATATTATATTATCTTACTCCTAATGTTGGAATAGTCTTATTAATAATCAAGCCTAATTTTCTTGGAAGCATAAAAATTATATATAAATGACATCATGATCTTTGAATAATTGGATCTAATTTTAAAAGCCACTTTATGATTTAAATAAGCAAATTTACCTCGACTTTTTGGCCGAATAGTCGACAACTCCTCGTGTCCTTAATCACATAATTCTACTAAATTCTTAACGTTATCGCACTTTGCACGCGAATTCACTGTAAATTCGCTCTCTTATTATACGAAATTAGTTAATTTAATTTTTAATTCACAAATTTGATTAATTCACGCTCTTACTTACTTGTAAGTTTAATTTTTATTATTCAAATTTTTATTTGGGAAGTACCAACGCACGGGCTTAAAGATACACATCAAACTAAAGTAATATTTGTAAAATATAATTATCATTTTAAGATTTTATAATCAACATATATTTAAAAATTAAATAGTTTGTCACTTTGTCTTATAGTTGTGCATGAAATTTTAATGCTCTAGATTTTATTTATATTAAATATTTACGGGTTAATCTGTAATTATGTGCACTAGTAATGCATGATGAGCATTACATGTGAACATAATTAAATAATAATTTTTTTATAAAAAATTAAATTCTATTTGTAATTAAATTGAACAATAAATTATATGTCAAATAATTAATTCTTGTTTTAATTATTGCTCAATCTAATTATTGATCTATTCTATCCCTCTTAGAATACCTAATATATCATTTTTAGGGATATCTCCGATCCCTTTAAAAATTTCCTTTGTTGTTTATAGGATTACAATATAATCAATCTCTTTGTTAATAAAATATAATAAATCTATATGATAAAGAAATAACTCTATAGAATAGAATAAGTGAATAATTAGAGACCTAATGATATTTGATAAGAAGAGTTTTAGTTCAAATGAAATTTGTAGGCTAATAGGACATGAAAGGAAAAAGAATGACATTAATAAGAAAATGTGGGGATATAATTGACTTTATAATAATAATTAGAGACAAAATAAGAAATCAAAATTTTTTAACAGATATTGTCAATTATAAGTAGTATAGATACAAATATAAATATAATATGATGCTCTCAAGATGCTGCCGCTCTATTTTTTTTTTTAATGTTAACGTTTTTGTACTTCCACTCTTGCTCTATGTGATCTGGGTCATGTCTAGCAAACTTAGAAATTTATATTTGAATTCACAAAACTAGTAAATTTTGGGGTGTAGTACTAAAATTTAATTTTTGGTAAGATAATTTCCCCCAACTTTAGTCTGTACCTAAAGATTACATTCCGTCACATTGATAGATTGGAACACATCACCTTTCCTTTATGATATTCCCTGGAATCACTTGTCACCATCACTGAAAGTTCCATGTTAATTCTGCTGTCCAGGCCTCTGGAAATTTCCAATTCCTACTTTTCTTTGTGTTTATTAGGAAAACTCTCTGAAATCTTCTTATAATTGCATTCCAGGCACATCAAAGTCTAACTGCTTATAAAAGGTATACCTGCCCCCCAAAAGTGTAAAAATAAAAATTATGAAAAAACAAGAATCCAAGGTTTAAGTCTACGTTCATGGTATTTATTTTTAAGGGTTTAGTCGACTTTATGCCTTGAAAAATGCTCGAATTTTTAATTTGCACCCTAACAAATTATGCTCTTAATGGTATAAAAAACTGCAGGATACATAAGATTGGCCTAACAAGATATGTAGACCTCTCCCAGGTCTTTTCTTACCAATCAAAATGATTTAAAACAATGCTAGAATAAAAAACAAAGCTCGAGGCAGATCCAAACGCTCTCCTAGGCGGTGATGATCAACCTTATTAATAAAAGGGTCTTTGAGAATTTGGTTATGCCTTTTGAACTCACCAATACCCCTGCCATGTTCCTGCCATGTTCTGCACCCTCCACAATAAGGTATTCCACCTATACTCAGCCGACTGGTGGTATACTTTGATCGTGGGCTATACCTAGTCACGTTAGCCACCTCTGGACTTTAAGGTGACTTAAGGATCACCGCTTATATTATTGAATTTTAAGATCATGATTTCGAATCTCGTCGTTTCTCTCTAAAAATGTCTGCTCCAAAAAAAAAACCAAAAAAATGTTCAAAATAAATGCCAAACAATGACTACATAAACTCGTAATGGATGATTGGAAACGACTGCAAAAGAAAGTTGTAACTTGTAAGCCACAGGTGTGAAGTTGATTATGAATGCCATGGATGACAGAATGATGAGATGATGATTAACACAATACAGATGACATAATAAAAAGATCTCAATCTTTCTCATGAACAAAGCTGACAGGATTCATTGAATCAGCTCTCATCTGCAATGCAATATGGAACATCTGTATGGGCCAATTGATGAGTGAGAGGCTCAAACATAGGCTGCCACAACTCATTCGATTAGGTTGGGAGTGTTTCCATAGAAAGAAAGAACCAATAATCATTGAAACCCTCAATGACTTTATGAGATTCAATGACTTCATCCAATCATCATTTGCACATGGAAGGTGGAGAAAACTATGAACCATATACAGTTAATTAGTATCTCAAAATCTTATGTTTTTATTACACCTAAATTTGTTTAACACGTAATTTGCATGTGATTGTGTACACGTAATTTGCAGGTGATTGTGTATATTCACAATTTAGATTATAACTATGAGTGGGTTAGATGAGTTAATTGAATCGAGCTTGAGCATGTTCAAATTGAGTTCGATTTTCACTGATTAAGCTCGAGTTCTATTATTAAAGATTAAATGTTTTCTCAAGTTCAACTTGGCAAAAGCTTACTAATTGCATTCAAATCTCAACAAATTTTCCAAAATCTATAATATAGAAGTGAAGGGAAGAGAAGTTTGGAACGAGCCTGAATGAACCAAAATCTAGTAAAATCGAGGCTGAACTCGTGATGTTTGGATTATTCAACAGTTCTGAATTAGAATAATTATTTACTACAAAACTTTATAACAAAAACTCAATTGATGATAAGAATGCTATCCAATGATTGTGATTGCCTTATGTCATTTGATATCAGAAATCCGTGCAAAAATTTGGGACTGCATCACTCTATTCTAAGACAAAATCGCCCATAGTTTACATAAAACATTAATGCCAGGGATTCATGTATGAATTATTAGAACAATACTATCTACTTACAAGTATTATATGATCTATATTTCTTCTGGTAGTACCAATTAAAGCAAATATATGATGAGATTGTAACAGAGCCAACCTATATGGACTACTTTCTCATAGAGCTAACTTGAAAATGGAGTCATTGGCCTTGTCATCCTTACCAAATTTCATTGATTTTTCTTACAAGTTTGAATATTAGAATGAAAACAAACTGGCAGTACCTTCCACTTCAAGCAGCCCACACTTTGGGACATGCTTGACTCCCACCACCAATCTCCCCATTGAGGGCTACCTACTATGCTCATTATTAAAACTTCATTGGCAAGCAGATGACATCCTCTTGGAGCCATTGCAATTGGACCTATACACAGGCAGTGTCGTGTCATACCGTGTCGCATTTTTAAATTGTTTAAATTTGTGTTGTATCAAAATTTATTCAGTTTACACCCGACCCATTTAC